CACACACACACACACACACACACACACACACACACACACACACACACACACACACACACACACACTCGCTGACCATTCGCCATCCTTGCTTCTTGTTTGTTGCTGTTGTTGGCGATTGGTGGAAATCATTCACACGTTTCTACAAGCACGCTGCACACAAGACGACGACGAAGAACATGGCTGATGCACGAGTTGATGGACGGAAGGCAATGGAGTTGCGCCCAATGCAGTGCGACTTGGCGTTGCTGGACAAGCCGGATGGCTCTGCCTCCTTCTCCTTTGGCGACTCATCTGTGATGGCAGCAGTCTATGGTGTGTGTATGTGTGTGTGTGTGAGTACACATGGTGTGCATGTGTGTGTGCATGTGGATGTCTAAGTCTGTCTGTTCCGCACCTCCACTGTGTCTTCAATCGCAACTCAGCCATCTCACATGCGGCACCTCACACACACACACATCCACACACACATACGTACACACGCACGCACACACACACACACACACACACACACACACACATCCACCAGGGCCTCGGGACGTGCCGTTGAGCAGAGAAAAGCACGACAGATCAACGGTGGAAGTCGCTTGGCACTCGGCGCCTGTACGTTTGGAGACCTGTGATGTGTGCGAGAACGGCACGCGGATTTGAGGGTGGAGGGAGGCGGATATGCATAATGCATGACGCACTGACTCGCAAGGTCATTGCCTGCACCGCCACACTCACACAACCTCCATTCGTGTCATCTCTCTCTCTCTCTCTTCCTGTGCATGCGTGTGACTTTTCTCCTTGTTTTGGTTTCCAATCCCCCCCCCTCCAAGGATAACGAGCAAGGCGCAGCGCTGCAATCTCATCTGACCGAGTTTGTTGTCAACGCGCTGGCTAGCATCCATGACTTCCCGCGGTCCGCGATCCGTGTTGTCATTCAAGAGCTGAACAACGACGGTGGCATGCTGGCCTGTGCCATCAACGCCACGTGCCTTGCGCTCATGGATGCCGGCATCTCGCTCACCGCCATGTTTGCTGCCGCATCATGCGCTGTGGTGGATGGCCAGCTCATCCTGGACCCCACCCTCATCGAACAGAACGTGAGTGATGGTAAATGTGTTTGTATGCGTGTATGTATTTGTGTGTGTGTGCGTGTGTATGTGTGTGTGTGTGTGAAAGAGGACGGTGTGTAGAAGCTACTCGTGAGCTGCGTGCATTGCGACTGAATCTTGTTTTCAGGCGTCCTTTTGACGGCGATTTCCTTTGTTCATGCGTCTGCGCTGCCTACGATGACAGAAGGCGAATGCTGTTGTCGTCACGGGCGCGTGTAAGCAGGCATCGAAGGTCAACGCTGCGGAGTTTGTCGCCCTACACTCGTCCGGGCCCTGTGCTCCCAAACAGGTGCAGCCCGTTCACTGACCCACGTCTTGCATACACACACACAAGCACACACACACAGACACACACACACACACACACACACACAGACACACACACACACACACACACACACACACACACACAGACACACACACACACACACACACACCAGAATATGCTCACCTCCAGCATATCCTCCTCTCGTCCTCCCCCCCCCCCCGATTTCCCTTTTGCCAGATGGTGACGGTGCTCGAGGCCGTGGAGAGCGCAACTGCCGCAGTGGCCGCGTTTTTGCGAACAGCAAAGAGCAAATGAGGCAACTTGGCGCCGGTTGCTGGCACGCATGCACGTTGGCACCTACGCAAGCAGGCACTGATGTACTGAAAAGATGCCCCGAAAAGGACCCGCGTCACCCACCTGCACACACACACACACACATTCACACACGTTCACACACACATTCACACATTCACACATTCACACACACCACACACACACACACCACACACACACACACACACATACACACCCATTCACACACACACACACATTCACACACACACAGTGTCCTCTCTGTTGCCCGCCATTTTGTTTTTGTCAGTTGCGCTTTGACAAGTTAATTGGACGTCATAGGTTGATTTGGTGGTCGCTCTCGTGTACATATGATGAGACTGCAACCGCCGTTTCCTTCAAATACAACACAGCCAGTCGCACAATCCGTCACGTCAACATCAATCTGTCAAATGCACGAGATGCACACCACCGCCAAAGAATACCAACCACAGTTCCAAGCAACAACACCAGCGTCAAAGCATGGCTCAGCACATCCCAACGGACCACACCACACCCCAGCATCCCATCCCATCCCAACACCACACCCCAGCATCCCATCCCAACACCACACCCAGCATCCCGTGTGATCACATCGCATCACTCGCGTCGCGGCGCTGCGCGTGTGCGTGCAGTGCATTGATGACAGCGGTGAGCAGGTGGCGGTGGCGGCCCGCTGCTGCCACTTGGCTGCTTGCATCCACGCCGTCGCAATCGCGGTGTACACCGGAGGAGAGGGCACGCGCGAGACGGGACAGCTGCTGGCAGAACAGCGGAAACGAGAGGAGGGGTGGGGCGGATGCAAATACAGAGGCGACATCATCACCCTCTCGCAGCACCACACGAGATGAATGGGACGCAGGCTCACTACCACCATCCCTGGGGAGCGCAGTGAGCGTGGGGGCGCATGCAGTGGCGAGTGAGGCGAGGGCTGTTGCTGGGACGACGAGAAACACGAGCAGGCGCCGCGCAACAGCGGGCGATGCTCTGACGGCGAGCAAGCGAAACAAGTGTGACGCCTCTGCAGAAAAGAAAGGGTTGCGCTCAACAGCCATTGTCGTCAGCGATGTCAGCGGTTCAAAGTACTCAGCACTCAACTCCGGCGCTGCTGCAGTCTCTGTTGTGGATGCAGTTGCGGTTGCAGCTGTGCTTGTGCGCATTGCTGTTGTTTGACGTTGTGACGTCGTTGCTGAAGGTTGGGAGAGGGTGGTTGTACGTATGTCGTGGCACAGCTGCTCTTCAGCTCCAGCCAGCGACTGCTGCTCAAGCTGCACAGCCACCGCGTGCTCGTTTTGCGCACGCACTTCCTTGTCTCCCACACCTCTCCCATCCCGCTCTCCTGGCTGCGATGGCACATGTTCCTGTGCCTGTACGTGTGTCTGCGCGTGTGCCGTTGGTGTTGGGCATTGGCAGAGGGAGCGGGAGATGTGCACGTCTGACGGGTTCACGTCCTCCCCGCCATCAGCCGCCATCATCTCAATCGTCGGCACTACCACGCTCGCCGTCATCGCCGCCGCCGTCGTTGTTGTTGTTGTTGCTGCTGCTGCTGTTGGCGCTGCTACTGCTGCAGTGGTTTGTGCTGCGGGCGCATGTGGTGGCGGTTGAGGTGGCGCTGTCACGGGTGTCGGCCACTTCATCACGCTCAATTTCGTTGCTGTGCCGCTTGATGCGCGCGCGCGTGTGTGTTGTTGAGCACTGGCCTCTCGCTGCCCACCACCACTACTAGCACCACTGCTACTACCATTGGTGGTCGCTGTTGTCTTTGGGCGCCAGCGAAACACGGGCTGCCGTCGTGTTGGCGAGGATGGTGTTGATGTTGAGAGGGGCGACGGTGGCAGCTGGTGCTGTGGCAGCGCTGGTGGCGCCACGGGGAGTGCTGGCGTTGATTGCGACAGCAGTGATGCTGCGGTGGTGGTGGTGGTGGTGGTGCTGTTGTTGTTCAGTGTCCAGGTTGCAACGCGTGTGTGCATGTGGGCCATCATCTGCTGGACGAGGGGCGCCTTGATCACCCAGTCGGTTTTGGTGTCGCACAGCAGCGACGGGTTGTTGTTGATCTCCAGCACCCACGGGTGTCCTTCCTCGTCAAACATCACGTCAAGTCCAAGCATGTGCATCACGGTGCTTCCTCCATCGCCATGTGTGCTCCCGCCTGGCCCCAGGATCGCGTCGGCGCCTGTTGCCACCATCCCCGCCAGGCCCGCCAGTGTGTGCGAAACGCATGCGTGCAAGCGCTCTTGCAAGAGACGGATGTCGTGTCCTTCGCGTTCTAAACGCGCCCACACCAGCAGCAGGTTTTGTTTCGTGTGTGTCTCCAAGTCCTCGGCAGCCACATGCTTGGAGTCTTGTCGTTGTTGTTTAACTTGTTGTTGTTGTTGTTGTTGTTGTTGTTGTTGTTGTTGTTGTTGTTGTTGTTGTTGTTGTTGTTGTTGTTGCTGTTGTTGTTGCTGTTGTTGTTGTTGTTGTTGTTGTTGTTGTTGTTGTTGTTGTTGTTGTTGTTGTTGTTGTTGTTGTTGTTGTGGCTTTGTTTGGCGTCGTTGTCGCTGTGACGGCTGCTGAAACTTCTTGCCTCGCTTGCCTTTCCTTCCAGACCCCCTTACCTTGACCTTCGCCTTCACCCCAACACTACCATCACCACCATCACCACCATCACCATCACCGTGCGTGTCGCTGCCAGCAGTGTGCTCGCGCTCTGCTGCGAGGGCATCGCCTGGTGCGTAGCCGGTCGACGCCTCCGCAACGAATGCGCGGCTGTCCTTGTTGAGGTGGTAGTTTGTGAGGTGCATGAACACGTTTGCGTCGTTGTCCTGGGAGGGGCGCGCGTACGGGGCGGTGCAGAAGCGAACCAGCCCGTCACGGTACAGATACGCCCGCAGCGGCTGCACGCTCGTCACCACCACATACAGGCGAAAGTCAAACTTGAGCCCCCGCAGCAGCATGGGCCGGGCAATGTACTCCTGCACCACCTGGCGGAACACAAACGCCGCGTCGCACAGGTCTTCACCGGTCCACAGCTGGATGCCGGTCCCACCACGTGCTGCGTAGGGTTTCGTGATGTAGTACGCGCGCGGATCGCGGTGGGGCGGCAGCTCCTCCACCCACGTCCTCGGCAGCACCCGCGGCGCATCCGGATTCAGCTGCGATCATAGCACATGTTGTGTGTGTTGTGTTGTGTGTGTGTGTGTGTGAGTAAGTGAAGGTTGGCGGCTGCGCTTGTACGTTTGGTGCTGTGTGTGTGTGTGCGTGTGTGTGGGTGCGTGAGGGTCAGTTCATGTTGCTGGTGCTAGAGCGTTCGTCCCACTGTTCATGTCATTTGTGCCGTTTGTAAGAGGCGGCGTTGACCGCAAGAGGGAAGTGCGATTCACGCGACATGGACGTACTTCAGTGTAGAGGTTGAGCAGCTGTGCAAAGTTGGATTTGATGAGGGCTTCGCGACAGCGTGGGATGCGGTTGGCAATGCGCCCGGGCACTGGCAGGAGGCATGCGGTGTAGAACTTGTCGCGCACATCTTTCACCCCGGCGAACCAGGCAATGTCAAAGGTGTCCATGCGCCTGCATGCCACTCGCATTCCCAACTGTTCTGCTGCTCGCAGAATCACAGGGTGTCGAGGTGTCTGCAGACCATTCGGAAAGGAGGGTATTGATTGGTTCGTTTGAACGTGTGCGTGTGATGAATGTGTGATGAATGTGTGATGAGTGTACAAGGTGTGCAATGTGCGTGCGTGTGTGCATGTGTGTGTTTGCGTTCGCTATGTGTGGGAGGTTGAAGGTAAACACCAACAAACAGTCAAACATGCACACACTGCACACACACACACACACACATCACACATCACACACACACATCGCGCGCGCGCACACACACACACACACACACACACACACACACAATACCTTTGTGAATCGAGGGTGGAAATGCCCCAGGGTGAGGCCACGACCAATCTTCTGCCTAACGGCTGCATTGAGTTGGTTCACTTGTTCTTGTGCAGGGTTACTGCCCCACTCAAACGGCGGCAGCTGCGGGCGTCGGCGTACCACTGCGTCTGCAGCAGGCACGTGCTGCTCACCTTGGCCGTCCTCATCCGCCATCGCGACGTTGGGTGTGATGAGACACGATGATCTCGATGTCCGGTTGCCCAACGTGGACAGCACAAAATGCAGTGTTACGAAACCGGTGGTGGATATGTCACATCAACTTTTGCCCTTGTGCGAAACATATAATTTGGTGCGCATTTCGTTCTGTGTTTTGGTTGCTTGCCTCTGGAGAAGTAGACAGGCGGATATCATGAGAGTGGCTGGTGCACTGCTGCAGCAGGTGGGCCGGCGCGGCGTGATTGCTGTGCGCAGGGAGACCAAGAACCGATGGGAGCGGCGTGCTCCGCTCGTGCCCAAGCATGTGCGCAAGCTCAAGCGCATGGGCTTCCGCGTCCTCGTCCAGCCCAGCGACATGCGGTGAGTGTGCGAAACAGCACAAACAGAGGGGGAGGGGCCTGAGAAGCAGTGAACATCTTTTGCACGTTGCGATTGCGACATCCGTGGTCGGCCCCCCCCCCCCAAAAAAAAAAAAACAGTCGTTCGCGGTGGTGAATGGATGGATGGATGGATAGAGGCGATGGAGGCGATGGAGGTGGGGAGGCCAGGGAAGGGAGGTGCAGAAAGTGAGGGCGAAAGCAGGTGGGTTGAGTTGATTGGAGAGGAAGTCAGTCAGTGTGAGGGGGTTTCTGTGCTGGTACGGCTGCACTGCCGTCATGCATTGCAGGCTGTTTATCCCTCGTCTTACACACATTGTACACGCCTTCTCCGACCCACACCCACCCTCGCTTTCTCCCTCCCTCCCTCCCTCCCTCCCTCCGTCACACACTCTCACCCTCTCTTTGACCAGCGTGTTTACGAATGAGCAGTATGCTCGCGCAGGGGCAGAGCTGGTTGAGGACCTCTCGGCAGCCAGCGTCGTGCTCGGTGTGAAGGAGGTGCCGCTCTCCGAGCTGCATCCAAACAAGACGTAAGCACGGGCATGTGATGAGTTGGTGTGGTTCCTGCGCTGTGCTTGTCTTCCCTTTCTCGTTCCCCCCCCCCTTCTGCTCCTCTTTGCTTCTTTTCCCTCCTCCTTTTTCTCCTTCTCCTTCTTGTTCGCCGCTTTGACCGATGACCTCTGCGTGCTCTCGTGTCGTCCAGGTATGTGTGCTTCTCCCACACCATCAAGGCGCAGGAAGGCAACATGGGCATGCTCGACGACATCCTCAGCAAGAACATCCGCCTCATCGATTACGAATGCATGCTTGACGAGTTCGTTTTCCACCTTGCACCTCCATTCTGTTGTGAAGCTGTGTGTGCGTGTTTTTGTGCGCTGGCTTGCCTCTGTGTGTGTGTGTGTGCGCGCGCTGGCTGCGCTGGCTTGCCGTGTTTGTGCAGCATGTGTTCGTGTGGGTGTGCATTCGCGCACGTGTGAAAGACAGCATTGTTTCAATCCCAGCCACATGCTCACGTGCCACTGCTTGTGCTCCTTGACTGATAGGAACAAGAAGCGTGTGATTGGTTTTGGAAAGTTTGCCGGTATCGCTGGCATGATCGATCTCCTCCGTGGCCTCGGCGACCGTCTTCTCGGTGCGCGTGTGTGCGTGCGTGCGTGTGTGCGTGCGTGCGTGTGTGTGTGTGTGTGTGCGTGCGTGCGTGCGTGTGTGTGTGTGTGTGTGTGTGTGTGTGTGTGTGTGTGTGTGTGTGTGTGTGTGTGTGTGCCTCACTCGCCAGGCATGAACGCTTTCGTCACACGTGCACGCTCTTGCCGCCTTTCCATCCGTGTGCCATCTCCCGCGCATATTACCCTGACGTGCGGCGGGGTCATTCATTATCATCCACAGGTCTTGGGTACAGCAACCCGTTCCTCGGCATGGGCTACATGGACTACTTCCACAGCGTGGCAGCGGCCAAGACGGCGCTGCAGCTTGTCGGCAACAACATCCTCATCAACGGCACTCCAAAGGCCGTCGCCCCCATGATCTTCGGTTTCACAGGTCAACCCTCTTTATGCATCTTTCTGATGTTCACATGCATGGTTGTGTGCGTGCGTGTGTGCGTGCGTGTGTGCGTGTGTGTGCGTGTGTGCGTGTGTGTACTCGGGTGTACCTGCGTGTTTGATGCGCCATTGCCCGTGCGCTCGCCGAGTGATCCTCCCCATTTCCCCCGTCCCTTCTCTGTCCTCACAACCCACCCATGCACCCCCGTCTCCTTTGTCGCTGTGCAGGCACTGGCAACGTGACGCAGGGCGCGCTTGAGATCTTTGAGCAGCTGCCACACGAGTACATCACGGCAAAGGACCTCGAAGTTGTCATCGCTTCCGGCGACCCCAACAGTCAGCGGCCGCCCATGCACTGCTACTGCGCATCCCTTTGTTGTACCTTCAGGCTTGGTGCCTGTTTGCTGTTGCTCTGATGTGCTCGTGCGTGTGAATCGTGCTGCCATGCCACAACTTCAACTCATGCCACAACTTCAACTCATGCCCACACCTTCCTTCCCTGCCTGCCTGCCTGCCTGCCTGCCTGCCTTTCTCTGCTTCTCCTCCTCTCCTCCTCCCGCCCGTTTGGCTCTTCCTGCGTGCAGCGCTCTACGGCATCAAGCTCCAGCGCGAGGATCTCGTGCAGCACAAGGACCCCACACAGCGCGTCACCTTCGACAAGGTGTTCATGGTGGTGCACATGTCCTGTCCTGTGCTCCGTGTGATCATACGTGATGCACTAGCTTTGCCGATTCCGCCTTTTTCTCCCCACCTCGCCCCATCACAACCCCATCTCACAACCCCCACCACTTCACCACCACTTGGCCGACGAAACGCCCCCTGTGCACCGTTAGAACCACTACAACTCCAACCCGGACGAGTATGAGCCCATCTTCCACACCAAGATTGCCCCCCACATCTCCGCCCTCGTGCGTTGCTTTACACCTCGCCTCATGCTGCACTGTTGTCACGCGTCCTGTCGCACGCTGCGCGCTCTTTCTGTTGACTCTGTGACACGCACAGAACACACACACACGTGCAATCACGCAATTGCCTCGCGACCACGCCAGTCTGTTGTCTCCCTCTTTGGTTCATGCTCACGCTTCCACATGCCCCCCCCCTCTCCACATTTGCTCTGACAGGTGCACGGCATGTACTGGGACGCGCGCTTCCCGCGTCTGCTGACGTGCGACCAGATGCGCGCCCTCCACAACACGGGAACAAGCCGCCTCATCGGTAAGTCAGACCGCGCTCCCTGCTGTGTGTATGTATGCATGTACACTCATGCGGCTGCGGTGTGCCTTGCCTGTGTAGCGTGTACGTGTGCGTCCGCGTGCGTATGTACACTCATGCAAAAATTGCAGTGCAGTGCGCCTTGTCTTTGCTGCGTTGTCGATGACACGAACACGTGCGCTCACCGCCTCCCCGTTCACACCACCGTCTGCAGCGATTGCCGACATTTCCGCTGATCCAAACGGCTCCATCGAGTTTACACGCGAGTGCACAACCATCGACCGCCCTTATGAAGGTTTGCATTGGTGCTACTTTATGTTTACATTTGTGTGCCTTGGTGCTGTTTGCTCATGCCACGCGCCTGCTCTTTGGCCTTCAACCACGTGCTTACTCACACTCACTCACTCACACACACTCACTCACTCACACACACTCACTCACTCACATACACAACTTCCTCTCCGTGTACTTGTACTGCCGTGACATGTAGTGTACAACCCGAACACGGACACGAGCGTGTTTGACTGGGAGGCTGAAGGCATTCTCCTCGGTCAGTGCTTCTGCCTTGTTGTTGATGGTCATGGCGGTCGCATGCTGACACCAGCGACGTTGCCAGTGTTGTTGCTGCTTTGCCTCGTGCTTGCCCAAACACGTTGACGTTATCCCTAGCGTCACACACACACACACACACACACACACACACACTAACACTAACACTAACACATCACATGGCCTGCCCACCCCACCTCTTCTTTCTTCCCCCCCCCCCCCCACCTCCAACCAACCCCCCTGGCAACAGGCTCTGTGGACAACCTGCCTGCTGAGATTCCCGTAGAGGCGTCCATCCACTTTGGCGATCTGCTTGTCGACTACATCCCCGAGCTCGCCCGCTCAGACATGACGCTCCCCTTTGAGCAGCAGACGGACATTGGCGACACGCTGCGCAACGCCATTATCACCGCCCACGGCAAGCTCACACCGCGCTACGAGTACATTGCCAACCTGCGCCGCGAGAACGAAGAGCTCGCCCGCAAGAGCGCGCCCCCACGCGTGGTTGTGCTCGGCTCTGGACTCGTCTGTCCGTCGTACATTGACAGCCTGCTCAAGGTCATGGGCAGCGGCAAGGTGGACGTGACCGTTGTTGGCGCGCAGGCGAGCGAGCTGAAGCAGCTTGCCAACGCCTACGACACCATCAACACCGTGGAACTGGACGTCACTGACGATGCTGCGCTCCGCTCCGTCATTGGCACCTCTGATGTTGTCGTCAGCCTCCTCCCCGCCAGCCTTCACCTCCGACCAGCAAAGCTCTGTCTCGAGCTCGGTCAGTGCACCTGCGCGCCAACTGTGTGTGTGTGTGTGCGTGCGTGCGTGCGTGCGTGTGTGTGTGTATGTGTGTGTGTGTGAAAGCTGACTTCACGTTGCTTTCCCTTGCATTTTGTCCTCACTCACGCACTCACGCACTCACACATTCTCGTCCTTTTCATGGGTTTCCTCCATGCTCGCACGTCCAACCTACGAATGCCCACGCCTTTCAATGGCACCACCGCAATGACGGGCAATGCTCTCAGGCAAGGACATGGTGACGACGAGCTATGTCTCTGACGAGATGGCTGCGCTTCACGATGAGGCGCGCGAGAAGGGGCTCGTCTTCCTCAACGAGTGCGGCCTCGACCCGGGCATCGACCACTTCAAGGCCATGGACATCATCCACCGGTGCGTCATCATGGTTTTGCGTTTGCGACCACGCCTGCATGATACCCTATTCCTGTGCCTTGCCCCACGCCTTTTGCCGTTGCCTGACGATGCTCTCTCCCCACCCCGTCTCTCACCGCGGCTGGCAGTCTGTCTGAGTCGAACATGGACATTACGTCGTTCACGTCCTGGTGCGGCGGCCTCCCCGCCATCCACTGCGCCAACAACCCGCTCGGCTACAAGTTCAGCTGGAGCCCGCGCGGCGTGCTCGGTACGAGACAAGGCAGATTTGTGTCTGTGTGTGTGTGCATGTGCGTGCGTGTGTGTGCGTGCATGTGTGTGCATGTGCGTGCGCTTGTGTGCATATGTGTGTGCATGTGTGTGTGTGCATGCGTGTGTGCGTGTGTGTGCATGCGTGTGTGCGTGTGTGCATGCGTGTGTGCGTGTGTGTGCGCGTGCATGTGTGTGTGTGTGCATGTGTGTGTGTTTTGCCCCCTTTCTCACGTCAGCGACTTCCTCCTCTCTTCTTTCTTCTCCTCCCGTCTTCTCCCGCGGCAGTTGCTGCGAAGAACGCTGCGCGGTACCGTGAGCACGGCGCTGTTGTGGACGTTGAGAGCGGCACCCTCCCCGAGCACGCCCGCGACGTGCAGGTCGGCCGCATGCAGTTTGTCGGCACCCCAAACCGCGACTCGGTCAAGTACGAGAGCGTGTACGGCCTGGACAAGAGCGGCAAGCTGGAGTGCATTCTGCGCGGCACGCTGCGCTACACAGGCTTCTGGGAGGCGCTGCGCGTGTTTACGGAGGTTGGTCTCCTGCGTGAGGACATCAAGCTCGGCGCTTCCACCGCCCGCGACCTCATTGCCGAGGCAGCAAAGGCGCAGCCCGACGACGTGCCGGCAGAGACGCAGGAGGAGGCCCTTCGCATGCTTGCAGAGTGCGGTGTTGGGGAGAGCACGCGGTGCCCTGCCCACGTTGCCCCGCTGGACGCGCTCTCGGCCCTGCTTACAGACGCCCTCGCCTACCAACGCGGCGAACGCGACATGATCGTCCTCACACACAGGTGTGCGGCTGTGTGAATGATTCGTGCGCTCTGCAATGCCGTTGCGTATGTGTGCGAGTGTATGTGTCTGCGTGCGTGTGTGTGTGTACGTGTGCGTACGTGTGCGTGCGTGCGTGCGTGCGTGCGTGTGTGCGTGTGTGACTTTTTGTGTGCGTTTATGTGTTTGGTTATTATCTCCCATTGTGCATACCCTCTCTCCCACATTCCCCCTTCCCTACACACGCTCACCTCCTCACCAACTGCACCACCATCTCCGCCACCGCAACGATCACGTCCCTGTCCCTGTCCTCCGTCGTCCTCGCACCTCCACCGCCGCCGCAGCTTCACTGGTGTTGGCAGCGGCAGCAAGACGGTGCAGGTCGATGCTGAGCTGTCGTACATGGGCGGCCGCCACCCCATGGAGGCAACTGCGATGGCCACCACCGTTGGCGCGCCCGGCGCCCTCGCCACCAAGTACGTGCTGAACAAGAACGAGTGCAGCTTCCTGGACCGCGGCGTGCTGCGCCCAACCAACGTGCAGCTGAGTCAGCAGTTTTTGAAGGACCTCGACAAGTACTTTGACATCTCCTTCAACGAGCGCGTCATTGAGTCGTAAACCACCAGCACCAGCACGATACGCCACAGGCCAATCACAACCACCGCCACCACCGCCACCACCACCAGTGATTCTTATTCTCCAGCAACATGCACGCCGTTTGATGGGTTGATAAGACGAGGCACATGTGTGTTTATGTGGCGGTGCCGATGCTGCGGCTGTAGTTGCTGTTGCGTATACCTCGTTTGTGAGAGGGTGTGTTCACTGTTTTGCTCGTCTTTTTGGTTTGTAGGCGTGTGTGTGTGTGTGTGTGTGTGCGTGTGCGTGTGCGTGTGCGTGTTTGCGTGTGTCATGTTGAACCAGAACAAACAGCCCGCCATTCACCCCAACACACGCCACACTCGTGTTCTTCTTGGTCCCCTCAATAAGCAAACCCTCCTCAAGCAGCATCAAACGCGACAACAACAGGAATGCGTGCGCGCACATATGTGTTGGTTGAAGGGGGAAAGGCGTGTTTATCATTCATTACATTACATGTGAAGGAATAAGTGATAACTGAAAGAGGGGACATCGTCCAACAACATGCGAGTACAAAGCGTCAAGTCATATGAATGAATGAATTACGTGAGCTGTAAAAGTGCAAGCGTGGTTGTGCGAAAACCACAGGCGTTTCAGGTCCGATATTGCTCAATGCACTTTATTACTTTGCATCAAGAACGCTCTCGTCCACACCAATGGCGTTGAAGAAGCCGTACATGCGGGCAACGTCAAACTTGGTCCCATCGTATTGCACGGTCGACTTGTAACAGCGCAGCAGCTGCTCCGCCGACAGCTTCGTGTGGTCGCACACCTGGCACGCAGTCGAGGGTGAATGTGTGAGTGAGTGTGTGTGTGTGTGTGTGTGTGTGAGTGAGTGTGTGTGTGCGTGTGTGTGTGTGCGTGTGAGTGAGTGAGTGAGTGAGTGTGTGTGAGTGAGGGAGTGTGTGTGCGAGTGAGGGAGTGTGTGTGTGTGTGTGTGCGTGCCAGGGCGTGTAGGCCTGTATGTGAGGGTGCATTTCAGGTGCCGATAGCTCGGGTCACCTTTTCGTGCCATTGATGGAGCGTGCTGCGATCAACAGAGCGGTACACCTGCGAGAGGAGAGGTCATCATGCGCGCCAGTGAGCAGCGAACGGAAGTGCAATGAAGAAGCGCGTGGTCCGTCAGCCACAATACATAGACAGACAGACACAAAAAGACAGACAAAAAACGCAGGCAGACACAGACAGACAGTCACACACACACTCACACAGTCACACACGCACATACACACACACATACACACACATACACACAGTCACACAGTCACACACACACACACACACACACACACACACACACACACACACACAGAGCACACAACACTAAGACAACAAACGGGAATGCAGGGAATAGTGGGTACGACGAACCAGGAACTCTGGGCGCGTGAGCAGCTTCTTGAAGAGATCCTCATCCTCAAGTCCCCACCCTTCAATGTCCATGGAGAACCCGCCAGTTGCGTCGTAGTCGGACGCGTGCACACAAACCATCCCGTAGCCGTAGATGCGCCACTCGCCCGTCGACTCCTGCATCATCAGCTGCTTCTTGTTGCGGTACATGCTGCACACAGGGGCAAGGAGCCGCGGCGTGAGGCAATTGTTGTTGCTGTTGTTGTTGCTGTTGTTGTTGTTGTTGTTGCTGGTGGTGGTGGTGTTGTTGTTGTTGTTGTTGTTGTTGTTGTTGTTGTTGTTGTTGTTGTTGTTGTTGTTGTTGTTGTTGTTGTTGTTGCTGTTGTTGTTGTTGATGCTGGAGATGGTGTTGCTGTTGTTGCTGATCCCGTTGATGCTGGTGCTGTTGTTGAATGTGACACTGCACGGACACACCACATGGCTTCTGCTCGAGTGGGCGGCTCGCACGCTCTCTGACACCACA